TATATATATATATATATTTGAAGGCCTATTGAGTCAGTCTGTGTCCTCAAATGCCCTTCGGTGTAGGTCCATCCATTGGAACCTGGTAACCTACCCAGCATCACACCCTTAAGGAAAACTGACTCTCCCTCTCCCCACAGCTTTATTTTTGCTAGCTTAAAACCCATTTTCTTTAGAATAAAGTACAATATGTTCACAATGTAACTTTGTGCTCAAATGTGCTCAAAAAAATAGGTGCTTTTGTGTCATATTGCAGAAATTTCAATGCATTCTTTCTGTTTATTAAGGCTTTTAAATCTCAGCCTGTATTAAACCCACTGGTAGGTTCTGCACATTACTGAATGAATAAAAACATGCACATTTGCATGTCATACTTTGTTTTTTTTACTATTATGATAAGTGAAATGTCCATTTTTTGGCTTCCTGTATCACTGTACCCTGTTTTACATATTTAAAAGCATTCCGAGGGCCAGCAAAGTGACTCACAGGGTAAAGGTACTTTACACCGAGCCTGACAACCCAAGTTTGATCCCCGAGACCCATATGGTTAAAAGAAGAAACTGAATCCTGCAAGTTGTCCTCTGACCTCCATATGCACTCTGTGATGCACACAGAGTCCATAGGCTTCATTAGACACCAAAGTATTCTGTGGCTTAAGGACTGTGAAAATTTGATTTAAAAAAAAACATAAGATCCAAAATGAGATTAGATTGCATTTTAATTATAAAATAAAGACAATTTTTCATCTGTTTATTTTGTTGCGGTAGTACATGCACAGAGCACATGTGGAGGTCAGAGGATGACTTTCTAGAGCTGGTTCTCTCTTTCCATCATTCGAGTCCCAGGGATTGAACACAGGTTGTCAGGCTTGGCAGCAGGTACCCTTACTCTCTGAGCCATCTTGCTAGCCCCTAAAAAGATAATTTTAACTCCACAAACTATGCAAAAATTACAATAGTAAAGAGATTGTCAATGCACTGCAAAGCATTTGAGCATAATCCCTTCTGCATTGGACATCACATGGTTCCTGATGCTACTCACAGAGGACAAAGCACTGTCATTTATTATTCTTCAAATAGGGTTAACCTGATCTACATGAAGAGAGAAACAGGCCAAGTTAATGAGCATTCTGAAAACAACTTGCTTGAACTAATAAACAAACAAACAAATAAAAGCCAGTGTCATAAAAACAAAACAAAAAGCCTAGAGAATTATTCTCTGTCATAGAAGATCAAAGAAAATTAATAAGGAAAAGCTAAGTATAATTCTTGGTTGGAGTTTCAATTGAAAAAGAAAAGACTAAAGGAAATTTGGGGATAACCTGGGGAAACTGAATATAGGCATTAGATAATATTATTGGACCAATGCTAGATTTCATGAGATTTTATTGTTTTAACAAGACAATGTCTTTGTTTTTAGGAGACAAGTACTAAGTCAGAGGTCAGGATTACTCTCAGCTGCCAAGTTAAACAAACCTGTGTCTCATGACATCACACATATAAGACGTACAACAGGAGGGGAAGACACAGCATGTGTTATAAAATTTAATGACTGGATGAGTGAATTGAGACCCACTATACTACTCCTGCAACTTCTCTGGGGCTCAAAGCTTTTCAAAAGGAAAAGTCTGAGAGAAAATATAAGAAAAGTGCATTCCATTCTTTAGACATAAAAAGAAAGGAAGATAAATTTTCTGATCACACCAATTAACTCATCTCGCTGTTGAGAGGGGAAGGTAAACGAAGGAGCAGTCCACTGCAGGTGACTTCCAGAACTGATGGGAGATGACAGTGGCTGGAACTGCAGGGTGGAACAGACACAGAAGACAATGGTCCCATCTGAAGCTCTCCTCTCTGAGGAGCAGGACACTGTGCCACCCGTTAACAATGTCAAGTACAGAGAGGTTGGAAAGAGCCACTGTGGAACACGAAATGAAGGCTGGGAAGATGACGTATGTGTACTACAGTGCTGTGGTGCACAATACCAAACCTCACAGTACTATGCTGCACAGTACTACACACAGTTGAGGTTTGACACAAAGTATTCATGGTGGGAACCACCTGTAGCGATGCATGGTTTCCACAAGATCCAGAAATAAGAGCTTAGAGACAGGGAGTGCAGTGAGCCTGGGGTGATAGGCCAGATCTTGGGAAGCAAACATGAATACAAGACAGGCTGGCAGAGGGGGAGAAAGCAAAAGGGTACAGCAGCCGGCATGGGTCATACAGTAGCCAGAGACAGAGGGCTGCCTGTGGTTATGGGGCTTGAGGCCAAAAGCAGCTGCAGTGAGGAGGGTTGCCGGAGATGGGGGATGTGGGCAGAAGCAGAAGACATGCTCTTAGACAACGTTTCTGTCAATAATGAACCTCCTCTTTATTCTCTGCATTCCAACTTGGGCACTACCGTCACCCGTCTTGCACTGTAAACTAATATGCACTCAAGCCTTCAAAACAGGCAACGCACACAGCCCAGCAGGAGCTCTTTGTGATTTGACAGAAAATCTACTTATGTCTGATGAGGAGAGGGCAGTGTTCACTTCTACACACACACACACACACACACACACCTAAAGATATTCAGATGATTACTTAAACACACAACAATAATCACCCTCTTAACTACTTAGCCTGCCAGCTGGGGCTTACCTCGCCTCGGTCTCCAAACATAGAGTCGGGAGGTTTAGGAAGCTGCTGTCCGCTGATCACCTTCAGTATGAGCTGCTTTTTGGGGTTGGCAGGAAGTGGGTCACCAGAGAAAGGGTTGAAAGTACCTAAATCAAGCAAAGCAGAGGTTTGTAAGGTGGGAAAACACACCGAGAGAGACAGAGAGAGAGGCAGAGAGGGGGGAGAGAGAGAGAAAGACAGAGAGAGAGTTTAATATATTAAAACGGGCTGGAGAGATGGCTCAGTGGTTAAGAACACTGGTTGTTCTTGCAGAAGACCCAGGTTTGAATCCCAGCACCCACATGGCAGCTAAAAACTGCCTGTAACTCCAGTCCCAGGGGATCTGACAGCCTCTTCTGACCTCCACGGGCATTGCACAACATGGGTGCACTTACCTACATGCACATAATACATGCATACACATAAAATAAAAACAAATAAATTTTTTAAAAAAAGATATTAAAACAAAGAAACAACAAGTGTAGATTACTGCGGTTCTTCCTAAAATGAAGGAGTTATCACATCGTTATCATTATCACTCTGGCAGGAGCAGCAATGACTGGCGGTTCCAGAACTGTGTTTTTCATTAGAATCTGAGCTCCCAAAGGCCAGGAGATGGGCCACTTTGAAGCAAATGTTTGTATGCAATGACTCACAGATGAAGAACATTTTATTTGAATGCCAATAGTATAAGAGGGGCAGTTATGTCAGTGTCCAATAATTTTCTAAGCCATCTGAGGTCTAATGAAACAGAAAGAAGACCGGAGATTAAGAGCAGAGCAAGAAAATGTGCCTAAAACCCAAGGTCACAATGAGCATAAAACCCCAAGGTCACGTCTGTCCGTGCTGCAAATCTAAGTTGGAAAGTTTTGAAAAACTTTTAATGGGAAGAATGGAAACAAAGTGTTTTTGATCTAACAGCACACAACCTTTTCTTTTTTGTTAACCCTGTTTTATAATTGGACTATATTCATGAAAGAGGCTTGATAAAATGGCTTTAGGAGACTTAATTATAGAAGATGGTTTTAAGCTCATACTTCCTGAGATCATTTGGGAAAGATAAGGTTTAGCCTTAGAAAGCAATGAAAGCGACAAATAATGGCCAATGGTTTTCCGCTGGGACCCTGGATTTCAGCCAACAACCGGCTGCTATCCACGTCTCTCTTGACATGCACAACCACAAGAGATAATGTTTTGAACATCGTGCTGCCCAAATGTTAAACATTGTCACATTCAAATTCATTAGTATTTTGGGGGCGTTCTTGGAGTTGAACCCAAGGCATTAAATATGTTAAGCAAGTGGTCTTACCACTGAGCTACACCACTATCCCATGCCCTGTCTTTTTGAAAAACATTATCTGCCACATCAAAAATAGTGTAGAAATCCCTCAAAAAACTTGAACTAGCACTATGATATGATCTAGAAATCCCAGTACTGCATGTATACACAAAGGAACTGAAATAAGTATGTCAAAGAGACACCTGCACTCACATTTAACTCAGCACTGTTCACAAAGGGCAAGATAGGGAATCATCTTAGGTGTCTACTAATAGGCAAATGGATAAAGGACATGTGGTGTAAACACATGCTGGAATATTAGTCAGTCACTAAAAAGCATTAAATTCTCTTATTTGCACCAATGTAGATGGAAAAGGAAAACACTACGTTAAGTGAAACAAGTCAGGCTCACACGGAAGCTAAAATACCAATCTCAAGAAGCAGAGAATGGAACAGTTGTCATCAGAATTTGGGGAGAGAAAGATAAAGAGGCAGGAGAGTTAATGGTATAAGTTAATGGAGTAAGAGTATAACTGTACAAACCCCTAACATTCTAGAGCGCAGGATAATAACTGTGATTGATAATAGTTCATTAAAATTTTCAAAGTAGTTAATACAGAGCATTTGGAATATTCCCAACACAAAGAAACAAGCCTGGGGTGATGGATGTGCCAGTTACTCTGGTACACATTATGTACACGGCCGTATATTATACTCCATAAACATGTGCAATTACTGTGTCAATTAAACATAAACTTTTAATGTTGCAAAATATTGGGGTATCAAAATATTTTAAATAAGGGGGACAGGAAAGATGGCACAGTGGGTACAGTACTGCCTATGCAAACCTGACAACCCAAGTCCAATCTCTAGGAGAGAATCATTCCAGAAAGTGTCCTCTGACCTCTACATGTGGGCACACACACACACACACACACACACACACACAAAGAATAAATAACTTTAAAATGGTAGGTAATCACCTGTTTTCGGAAACACAGCTGAGATTAACACTTACCTTTGCACATTTGCTGGGGCTTGAGAACATAGCCACAGTTACCATTTGTCTTGAATTTTGCTCGATTTAACTGCATCATCCGCCCTTCAGACTGGTAGTTCAGTGCCACTGTGCAAATTGAAAGTTTGAGAAGATTAGGCAAGACGGCAAAGTAGGGTCAGAACACAGAGGACCGCTCCTCTCAGACCATACACACCTAGCTGGCAACCTGCGTTCCAATAGGGCAGAGGGTTGAAGTTACTGGAGTCAATGCGGTAGGCAGAGGGGTAAATCCTCGTGAGCTGTTTTTGGTTATAAATCATGAATTGCTCTGACTTCTGTTGAACCACCTGATGTGCTCTTGTTTCACTGAAGGACAACACATTCCCTGTGGTTCCTAGCAGGCATTAATAAAGAGAAAAAGAAAATGAGAATGACACCCCTCACAAAAGGTATGCCACAAGCGACCCTCAGCAGAAAACAGAAGGGTATTCATGTTAAGTGAAAGACTTTAGACATATTAAATTCAGCAGAGTTTAATTGAACAAGAACCCATTCACAAATTAAGTCACCCCAGGATCAGACCAGGTTCAGAGTGACTTGCCCCATTACATGGTGGATTATATTTAGAACCAGAAAAAAGCCCTAAGATTCCATTCTTAGAGCTCTGCTGCCAATTCGAGACCTGCATTTGCTAAGGTGTCCCATTTTGGAATCCCATATTGTCCTAGATTTAAATCATTTGATTAATTCATGTGTGTTTTGCCTGAAGAGGCAGAGAGAAAAATAATTTTCTAGTTGCATGACCCAAACAGAGTATCTTTGCCAAAAATATAGACAATGGATAAATAAAACTATGTATATAATATATTCCTGATAACAGGAAGACATTCATTGAAGATACTCACTTAAAAGGTACAAGTGGGGATGGGGAGATGACTCGTGGTTAAGCACCCACCATGCAAGTGTGAGGCCAGCAGTTCAGATCCCCAGAACGCTTGTAAAGGTTGGGTGGGCATGGCAGTCTACCTGTCATTCCAGCTTTGGAAAGCAAAGACAGTGGATCTCCGGAGCAAGCTGGCTAGCAAGACCGCCCATATTCTCATTCTCTGGATTTGAGTGAGAGACCCTGACTCACTGAATAAGGTGGAACATCAGTGGAGGAGAGCTCTGTTATCAACCTCAGGCTTCCACACCCCAGATCACCCACGTAACATAAATCTCCACGCATCTGTACCTACACGAAGCATCCATACACGCATGTACACACAAAAATGGAAAAAGAAAATAAAAGGCATATGTGAGACACATGTACTAATTGATAATATCCAGGGTCCAAAAAGCAGAATATGTCATTTAGAAAAAAGAAAAATTGAGTTTTGAAGGTAATTTGAAGAGACTCATGGAACTAATCAAATCCTGTTTGGAAAAGAGATATAATAGAGCCAACCTTGGTGGTGCAGGCCTATAATCCCAGCACTTTGTGAAGCTGAGGTAGATGGACTGCAGAGTCAAGGTCTGCCTGGGCTAGCAAGTGAGTTCAAGGCTATCCTAGGCAACACCCACCTGGGGGCTAATAATGGTCTGTAACTCACAGTTCCCAGAGATTCAATGCCTCTTCTGACCTCTGAGGGATTTACACAACATGAGTGCACTTGCATACATGCAGGCAATACACTCATACATATAAAATAAAAATAATAAATAAAATATTTTCTAAAAGTAAAACTAAAATTGAACATACAGATTCTGATGGAGAATGCTTTGACTATGTAGGAGGAAATTTAGCCTTTGACACACCCGGTCAGATGGATTATCCCTGTGATCATATCATTGAGCTGTTTTTTCCAACTCCCCACATAAATATGCATAGCACACTATCAATAAGACGACCTTGTTTATCAGGCACATATCAATTAGTAGTGTAATAGAGATGAGCTGTTTTGCATAAGGACAAGCAATGTGCTCATTATTTATTGTTCATTTGTGTCTTAAAAAAAAAAAATCGCCGGGTGTAGTGGCGCACGCCTGTAGTCCCAGCACTTGGGAGGCAAGGTAGGCGGATCTCTGTGAGTTCAAGGCTAGCCTGGTCTACATAGTGAGTTCCAGGACAGCTGGGGCTACAGGGAGACCCTGTTTCGAAAAAGACCAAAAGAAAAAAAAAAAAAAACCTGAAATTTAAAAGCTAAAGCTAAATGATACTCGAGATTTTCCACCAAGTTACTATGTCTATGATATCTAAAGGCACTTGTCAACGTTTTCATTCTGCAAACCAAATATATCATTAACTTCACTCAACCAGTCAGAGTGCACTTGTGAGTTATGTGCTGCTGTAAGAAGGCATTGCTTGCTCCTCCCAAGCCTATGTGACCCCTGAGGAACAGATCCTCAAACAACCTTAAGTATAAATATAAATTGATTTATTTGGGCCAACTCTATGGTCTTAAACACCCAAAAGGAAAGGATAACGAAAGAGTAAAGTCATATATATATTTCTTTTAAGAGTCCAAGGGATTACACTTCTTAGACATTAGACTTAAGTCCATATAAAAAATTATTTAGACAATTATCTCTCATTGAAGATTTTGTTCTGAATCAAAAAGTGCTACTCAGATGTAAGGCTTCAAATCTTGGTCTCCAATACTGTAGTGCCCAGCTGTAGCTAAGAGAGACAACCAGCTATTGTCCTAAAATGATGGATAAATTTGTTTTGTCCCCCTACCTAGAAGCCTTCGAGAGAGAACTGATTCTAACCACTCCAAGAGCTATCAAAATACCTGAAAGCAAATGCTGAATCCATCACTCTAGAGTCCAGCCTTGGAAGACAAAAGAAAAATGAGGAGGAACGAACCCAATAGAGGGATGCTTTTGGAAGCCCTTGTCAAGAAATTCCAATGGAATCTCATATGAACATTTGAAATTTGCCCTGTTCTTTTTTCTAGTTCCCTGTCTGGAACTTGTAATACTAAGTACTCTTGCCTTTACTTCTCCTTCACATCTCCTATTCACAATTCAAGGGCTTTCTTTTCCCCCTAAAGATAAGAGTTATACAATTTGGGAGTCTTTTAGATAGGCCCACTGAAGGGGTATTCCAGTTTCCTCACCGTGCGTTCAGCATGGAAGAAGCCAGAGCGGTCAGCGTCCTGAATTCCCTAGGTAAGTTGGGTAACCTCTTCAGAGGATGGTGTGATAAGAATAGGAGGTAGGAATTGGCTAGGTAGTTAGTGTAAAAAGACCCCAAAGGAACATAGCCAGCTTCTTGGCTAAAAGTCAAAATGTCCTTGGGCCTATTAGCAACATACTCTGTTCCAAAGGCCAAAAATGTCAAAAGTATTTGGGAGTTCTTATCTAATCCTTAAAAGATTTTGGGGTTATCTCTTCAGAGGGGAGAACGTTAGAGTAGCAAAAAGACCCATTTGAAAAAAAAAGAAGAAAGAGTACATGAAGTTATCAAAAAAAAAAGTGATGGGGAGATATGGGAGGTGTCGGAGGGGAGGGAGTGGGCATGGATTTGATCAAAACACCTTATATGCCTTATAGGCAATGCCTTTCACCTTATATGAAATTCTCAATAAATTATTTTTTTTAAAGAAGAAGGCATTGCCTACAAGTTGAGACTCGTAAGGGTTCTCCTATTCTCACAGGTGGTGTCAATTTAATTTTTTATATAATTGTCATTATTTGAAGAAGGACTCAAAACTAAGGAAAAGGCATCTTTCTATAACTAGAAAAAGATGGACTTGTGTAATACTGCCAAGGAAGATGATCTGGGTGAAGCGTCCTGGAGGTTTGTGAGGACGAGTCTCACCCAGGGCTGCTGTCTCTGTACCAAGACTGCTACGAAAAGCGGATGTTCTGATTTGCATTTCACTTGAACTAAAATTAAAATTAGATTGAAGTACCACATGAGTGTATATTTCAATAACATTCGGTAACTAAAAGAGATAGAAGACAAGAGGGAAAGCAACTACCAGAAAAATCAAAGGTGAGTGGAGTTGTGACTGGCTACCTCAGCTTAACACAGACAGCTATGGAAGGCTGAAAACCAGCAAGAGCCAGTGACACTTAGATGTCACTCTTTTCATTAAAATGTCAGTCAGGGGAGTAAAACCACTTTAAACAAGGTCAACTGTTAATGATAAAATATGGTCTTTCCAAGGCATTGTTACAGCCAGTCAATTCATTCTTTCTTCTGATCATTCACACTTGGAATGGCCATCTGTGACCTGGTCATGAAGGGAGGTCAGGTCTCTGCAATTCGAGTGCTGAATAAGACTTTGCTTGGATGCCTTTATCTTGTATTAAGATGTAATTTTAATTATGTGTATATGTGTATGTCTGTGTACAGGTTTGTGCACAGGAGTGCAGGTACCCATAAAAGCCAGAAGAGGGCACTGAATCCCATGGAGCTGGAGTCACAGGTGCTCATGACCTAGGACCTGTAAATGACCAGCAAGCTCTCTTAACCATTGGACCATCTCTCCAGCCCCTAAAGCCTCTATGTTCTCACAATAATCCCTTCTTGTCCCTGTAGGAAATTCCTCTGATCGCCAGGCTTTTAAGCAGCCACCATAACCAACACAGCCATGTATGTGAGTTCAGATGCATGTCTGTTATCATCTTCCTAGCACTCAGGTAAGATGCTGCACAGTCCCAGAAATGTGTGGGAATGATCTGATTGACCAAAAAAAAAAATTAACAATGACAAAGAAAGGTCAAAAGTGTTTACCGAAGTTGGGGATTCTCAGGTCTTACCATCATCCACAATATCCTGGGCTGCCACAGAGTTTGTGTACACCACCAGGTCAGAGAGCTCTCTGCAGAGTTTCATGGTTTTCCGCCGCCGGCCCAGCCTGCAGAGCACACACTCAAGATTAGAGATGGTGTAGAATGGGCAAAGGTGCAAGTCTCTGGCTATTCCACTTTCCCTATTTAAGAGAATGAGTAATTGACTGGCTCTAGGGCTTAATGGAGTCAGGATTAGAACCCAGGAATGACTCCTAGTTAAACTCTTCCTCCTCTAAGTCTACATTACTTCCTAATCTAGTTTTATTCAATGTCCTGCTGGGAATCAGCCTCTTCTAGTGTCTGCTATTTCTGTTGTGAAAGGCTTGATTCCACTGCAACCCAGCTAGGAATAACACCAGGAAAGAGAACTAGACTAAAAAGGTGCAGAAACATCTCAATGTGGGCCACAAAAATAAGATACCTAAATAAAAATAAAATAAAATAAAAATAAAGGAAAGGTACCAAAATTTCCATGGTGAATCTTTTAGAGATGTAATTACAAGCATTTTTCTTTCTATTTTTCTATATCCTTTAACTTTCTTAAAACAAACACGCATTACATTAGATAATATTTCTTTTTCCTAGGTACTTTCTAAGTTCTCTTCCTATAAAACACTCCTAGAATCTCTACTACATCCTTAAAAATGCAAACACTTGGGGCTGGAGAGATAGCTCAGTGATTAAGAACACTTGCTATTCTTCCAGAGGACCTGGGTTTGATTCCCAGCACCCACATGACAGCTAACAACCATCCATAACTCCAGTTCCAGGAGATCCAATGCTCTCTTCTGACCTCCTTGGGCACTGTATAACACAGGTGCACTTACATACTTACAGGCAAAATATACATATAAAATAAAAATAATATTTTTAAAAATTCAACCACTTCTTTGGGGCTGGAGAGATGGCTCAGTGGTTAAGAGCACTGACTGCTCTTGCAGAGGACATGGGTTCAATTCCCAGCACCCACATGGTGGCTAACAACCATCCATAACTCTAGTTCCAAGGGAATCTGACACCTTCTTCTGACCTCTGCGGGCATTGCACGACAAGGGTGCACTCACATACATGCAGGCAATACACTCATACACATAAAATAAAAATAATAAATAAAATATTTTGTAAAAAATTCAACCACTTCTCTTTACCACAGTAAACTCTTCATGGGCTCTCATGTTCCTATGATACACAGACACACATTTCTCCTCTAGAGGAACATTTGACTATCAAACACTCCATTGTTCACCATTATGCCATTCAAATAGCCAATGAGCACATGAAAAGATGACCAGCATCATTAGTCAACAGTAAAATGCAAAAACTGCAAGAAAGTACCATGTTACCCCTATTAAGATAGCTATAACTGGGCTGAAGAGATGGCTCAGCAATCAAGAGCACTGACTGCTCTTACAGAGGACCCAGGTTCGATTCCCAGCACCCACATGGCAGCTACGAACCATCCTTAACTCCAGTTCCAGAGGAATCCGAAGGCCTCTTCTGACCTCCGCGGCGTTGCACGACATGGGGGCACTCACATACATGCAGGTGTTACACTCATACACATAAAATAAAAATAATAAATTTTAAAAAGATAGCTATAACTAAAAAGGTAGGCAAGTAAGTGATGGTAAGGGCGAGGAAAAGCTGAAAGCCTCACACAGAACTGGGAAATATAAATGGTACAGTTCCTTCGGAAAACGGTTTGGCAGTCACTCTGGTGAAAGAGTTACCTTGTTACCCAGCAATTCTACTTCTAAGTATATATCGGAGTGAAATAAAAATATACACCCACATATAACTCTATAAGCGAATATGCATAGCGATATTTTTATAATAACCAACAAAGTGAAAGCCACCGCAATGTTCTCCAACTGCTGAATGAATATATAAAATGCAGTATATCCATATGGAGTGTAGTTCAGCAATAAAAACAAACAAAGCACAGATATATGCTATAACATGGATGAATCTTGAAAACACAAACTAAATAAAAGAAGCTAAATGAAAAGCCCAAATACTGGCAAGTACATTAGTGGTTAGCAGAGACTAGGGAGAAAGAGACAGAATAATTGCCACTGGGTAGAGACGTTTTTCTTGGGATAATGAAAATGTTCTAGAGTTAGATATTGGTGATAAAAACCGAGAACAAAGCAGACAAACATCCCCACCTTAATGGTGACTGCAGACATCCAATAAAATTGCTAAGAACAAAACAGAGCATTTATTACAGCTTTCATTTTGCCAAAGAGGCATGAATACAGTAGGCATGAATACAGTAGGCACGCATAAAACTCAGTGGGAAGAGTACCTGTTCATCCTTTACCATAGAGTTAGGAAACGCCATAGTTATTAGTGAACATCTGAAAGGCTGATGACTATAAATCAATGTTAAGTCCTGCTTAAAATCCCAAGCAAAACTCCCAAGACATTCAATGGTATGGAGACAGTCTCTGTAATCTTCATCCTGAGAGTGAATTAGGTTAACAAAGTCCCAAAGCAGCACTGTCTGAGATGCTCAGGCTCTGACAGGTATTATAGGCAAATCTCTAATTGACTCAAGAGCAGCATGTAACCTGATTTCATGTAATACCTGTAGCGACATCACATTTGGATGCAAGAAGTCTAGTGCAGCTTTCTTCAAACAATGTCCCTTCTCTAGCTATGTGCTTCACACTCTCATTTAAAAAGAGTAGAGGTCTTCCGAGAGATGCTGTTTCTCCTGCATCCTTTATTGTAAGTTTCAATTTTTATGTTCTATAAATGTAGGACCACACATGTCTCCTCTGCCCCTACTAATGAGTGTTTTCTGTATATATATCCATTGAAGCTCAAATAACAAAGTCCACCTGAGCACAAAGTCTAATTCCTGTAAGACCTCTATGCTTTAAACCTCACCTTTTAATAAAGGACCAATGATGCGAGTGTGTCCATATCTACCTGCCTATTAGCAATGCAATCCAGGTTCCTTTATGAACAGTATAAATAAACTGACAGAATATCCTGTATCAGATCACATTTTGAAAATATGGCCATTTTACTTATCACAAGCACTACTGGCAACAGTTTTTAAAACAAAGGGAAAAAAACATTTCTATACCTAGTATTCCTGGCCCTACCCCTCAGTGAGGAGCTATTAGCGGTTAATGGTTTCTGGGAGGGAAAGGGTATCACTTTCTTCTGCAGTCTCACCATTAATAAGTTTCCCATGCTCCAGTAAACAATCCTCTACCCATGCTCATACAAACAACCAATTAAACTCAGTGGGGTGGGGAGTGGGGGGTGCGTAAGAGAGAAGGAGGACATGTCAGGAAGATGGTGTGAGTGGGAGTGGGACGGGCATAAGATAGGTAACAGGCAGTGAATATGACCATTATGACATTAATATATTAATATAAAATTGTAAAATACTTTAAAAAGTCACTAATATTTTTGAGCATTTATTTAATTGGGTTGAGCCTACCATGCTAACGAATTTAATTCTTTTAATCCTTTTGATGATTCTAAGAGATGGACAGGGATACAAATGGGGAACTTATATTGCCCCATATTCAAGTTAGTGGTTAGTGGAGGAACAAACATCCGAAGTCTGGCAAACACTTATCATCTTTACCTTTGACCCTCTGACCATCCTATGCACATCTGTATGGCCCACCTCTTCTCCAAAGATACCTTTCACCTGACAATTGCTACAGCCAGCATTAATTATGTGCCTCACTGAAGCCAAGGTCCCTACATACACTAACTCTGTCCAGCTGATCTTCACATTTCACTTGAACACTTTACCTGAGATCCCATTCTTTAGATGCACACAACTAAAACTAATATTATATGAACAAAGAGGCCCTGGGGGCCTGAGCAGGCAACATGAACATGCTTACTTACCTGTGCAGCTGGCCTCCCTCCTTGCCAGGATTCTGCAGTGTGTCCTCCTCATCATCAGTACTGTAGGATTTAGAACGTGACTTTGTGGTTTTCTGAGGAAAAATCATAGTAGTGGTGACATTAGGTATATTCACAACATAAAAAATGGACTGGATTTCAAAACACACACAGACTTAGAGGGAAAAAATGATCAGATACAGTTACTTGCTTTACCATTAAATAAAAAAAAAAAAAACCATGTTTATGGTCACCCCTGACTTTTACTATCAACGCAACATTTAGGGCTTTCTACTCCAAAGCCAGTTTATAAGTCATATAAAGCTGACATCTTAGAAAAATGTTTACTGCACTGACAGGAGTTACCAGTTTCATTTGAAACCTTCTCAGGATTATTTTTGTCCTGAGAATGTCAGGATACATGGCATGGTCCCTAATCTCCAAATTTATACCCCAGCTCAGACTTTCACCAAGATGGTAAAATAGCTAAACTCATTAAGTTTCTTACTATGTTTTTAAAAGTGTGGTAATAATATCCATTCCAAAAGAGTATTATTGTAGGACTGGAGAGATGGCTCAGCAGTAAAGAGCACTGGCTATTCTTGCAGTGTTTGATTCCCAGCACCCACATGGCAGCTGACAACCATCTCTAACTCCAGCTCTAGGGGATCCAATGCCCTCTTCTGACATCCATGGCACTACACGACATTGGTGCACTTACACACATGCAGGAGTATACTCATACACAAAATAAAAATAATAAACAAAATTTTAAAATATTACTATTGTAATGATGAAATGAGATGACATATAAAGCCATTTTGTAAACTACAAGACATTAACTTTCAATGTAAAATAGTACTACACTTACTAATATAATCTATACAGTCCCGTGGACCACTAATTATTCTTATTACTGAATACATGATAAACTTTCATTCTATAGTAGCTGAAGGGTTTCTGAAATACATTCCTCAGAAGATTCATTTTTATTACAAGACATAAAACGAAATAAGAAATGAATCACTAAAACCAGTGAGGTGATAGACACCTTTAACCCCAGAACTTAGGGAGCAGAGGCAAGAGGTTCACTGGGAGTGCCAAGCCAACTGGTCTACATGGTAAGGACCAGGCTAGCTTGGGCTACACTGCAAGATGCTATCTCAAAAACAAAAAGATTAATAATTAACGATATACATTTTCTGTACACACAGTTTTGATATACATCAGATCGTGGCTATCAAACCATGAAATCCATTTTCATCTTACTTTTTCATTTAATGTTTTGCGTGTTAAGGTCTTCAGCGAGATCATCTTTCAAGGCTTCTTAAATGCCCATTATGCAAGTGAGTCATGACCCACTTAAGCACTTTTTATGAGTGAAGGGTTTTTTGTTGTTGTTTTTTTTTTTCTTGCCTTAACTAATTTCCCTAAATTATCTTATTTACAGGCAGGAAATTCCAGACAGATCATTCTTTATAATAGTAGAAATGGTCTCACAAGAGCCCTCAAGTAATATTAAGTTCACCATCTACTAACTGACTTCTTTTTCCTATTAAGTTTTTTAATTATTGCATTTATTGTGTGTGTGTGTGTGAGCATGTTTGTGTATGTTCATGCAGATGCATGCATGCATGCCATAATGAACATGTAAAGGTCAGAGGACAATTAGGTTGATAGAGTTGGTTCTCTCCTGGGATCAAACTCAAGTCACCAGGCTTGCTAGCAAGAATTTGCCATTGAGCCATCTCACCAGCCTAATAATTGATTTCTTTTATGACATTGTCACCTCTTTATTGAAATAAATATTTGCAAAAATACAGTTATAAGTATATAGATTGATGACTTTTACTTTTGCCCCAAAGATAACCATCCTAGCTTCTACCATAGGGTTTTTTACATGGCTTTGAATTTCATACAAATAGAATTGCACTTACATACTTTCTTGAGTTTTATTTCTTTAGCTCAACATCATATTTGAAAGATTATCATATTGTTGTATATAGATGTAATTTTTTCCTTTTTGTGCTGTTAAATAGTCCCTTATATGAATATTCCACATTTTTAATTGATTCTATAGTTAATGGAAATTTGAACTGTTTTCTGCTTGTACCATTACAAATAACACCACTTTAAACACGTGTCTGGCTTTTGTTAGAGACCTAACAATGGAACTGCGAAGTTGAATGACTGGCTTTTGCCAAGACTGCCAAACTGTGCCAAAGTCGTTTCTGTACCTCAGCAAGTGAGACTCAAATTCCTCTACATCCTGACAAACATTTGATGTCTGTAGTCCTTTTATGCTACTTCTTGCGGTATGTATGGAATCCTATCATAACTTTAATTAGCATTTCCCAGATGCCTAAGGAGGGTGAACCTCTTTTCCTAGCCATTTGGCTATCTTCTTTTGGATTTAAGCCTTTTGCTCTTTTTGAAATGTATATTACCTGTCTTCTTATTGATTTGTAAAAATTATTTAAATGTTCAGGCTATGAATCCTCTGTTGGCTAGGTATTTAAAATATTCTTTCTTTTAAGGCAGCTTGTGTCAATTTTTTCATCTTCTGAACTCTGCTTAAGAAATCTTGAGTACCAGGTATGGTGGCTCACGCCTTAGATGCCAGCACTTTGGAGCCAGAGGCAGGTAGAGCTCTGGGAATTGGAGGCCAACATGGTCTACAAGTTCCAGGCCAGCCAGGCTACAAAGTGAGAGCCTGTCAAAAAGAAAAAAAAAAGAACAAAAACAAAACTTCAAAACTTCAGCCATTCTAAGATTGCACAATGTCACCCTATAGAATCTCAGAATCTGTAAGTTAATTAAATTATGCATATTTACCACTCTTAATTCATACCTTGTGTTTTCCAAAGTTGGTCATCAGGGATCTTCCGTGGGACTTCTTTCCACTTTCCTTCACATCTGGATTCTTATGAATAAAAGCATAATACAATGATTTTTTTGCTTTGCTTTTGGCTCTGGCAGAATGGCAGGGGCCCCTCTTCCCCTTTCCTCCTGCCCCACATCGCCACTGCCCAAAATTCGGTTGTGGCTGCTGCAAGAGGGGCACTGCCATGGCTGCCTGGACACCAGCCAGGACACAGCAACTGCCCATAGCTTCCCAAAGCTGGAGTCAAGGGTTCTCAGCAATGCCCAGCTGTGCCAGACCTCACGGTTCCTATTCACCAGGCCGTCTAAAAGCAGAAAGTGATGTTTTGAATGTTCTAGTGGGGATAACTCATTTTCAGTTAAGAGATTTAATTTTGGAAAATAGCCAGAATTAGTTAAGAGTGAAATCTGCTGAATGTGGAAAGCACTACAGTGAACAATGATGTTGGTGAATTTAAAGTATTAAAAATAAACAAAAGTCAAGCATATCTATAAGGTAACAAGATCCCCTTTGTTTAAGTAAACCACTGGGAAGACTTGACACAATTCCACTGGTGAATTGTGGCACTGGAGAAAGACACTTTAACCTCTGATGAGTTCTTGCATGGGTGAATTTTCTAGGCAGAGATGGTGAGCAATACTGTTACTCCAGCCTACATCTCCTTAGGTGACTGAAGGAAATGCTACCCTGTTGAAAGGATTTAGACTCTTCTGCAGTTGCCCCTTAAGAATGCACTATCTGACTCACTGTATAGAGAGACCTACAGGTGGCGCCCATCCAGGACTCCAGTTAAAGGGAAGAAATAGAGATAAACACATGAATAGAATAAAGATGTATGAGCAAAGCCACTTAAAATAAATAAAGAAGCTACAAGAGGCCCTTCTCTGACCACAGACAGAGATCATGGGGATGAGATTCATGGGGGAGAGGGTAAGGTAGCCAAGAATTGGCTGAGGAAACAGCCATGTAGAAAATGGAGCCGTTAGGAGCGAGGGGGGAAATGGAGCTGGTAGGAACGAGGGGTTTACATGATGCTGCTGCTTAATCACTGCTTTGCATGCATCCATTGCCTTTGAAAACCTATTAATGCTGATCACTAACTGTTCAAAACCTGTGAGATTAAGAAGGTCACTACACTGGTCATTGGTTGTAGAACAGATGGCACTCTCTCCAAGTTAGGGGACATAGTGCTGCCACCAAAGCTACAATTCTTCTCTTGGCTTCAACTCTTTCATCTGTGAAATGGGGGTGGGGGGGATAAATTAGCCAATTAACCTGTGAGTTCCTTCCTACTTCTAAGAGCCCATCTGTTGGTAGGAAGACTATGTTATTTTATTGTCCCAAACAGAACTCTTTTAAGAGTGAAATTGGGCACTTTTAATGAGACAACAGGACAACCGGTATGTAGTAGAGATGTCCCAGGCAAATTCACTTTGAATTTAGTTGGCACCTACTACACTCCAGGACAAACATGAGGATATTAGATATATTCTCTTTTAATTTATGCAATCATCTCCAGAGATAATGTGATTAAAATCTCATTTTTTTCAGAAAATAACAAATATAGTAACATCTAAAAGCTAATCAGTGGTAAGAGCACAGATTCTGTCTTATCCCTAAGTCTCCTCTCTGGTTTCCTCTTCCTAATTTCTCCCATAGCCCTTCTTTATGCAGGAACTAGATATCTATTAATAGCTCTCTGCAATTCTGATCTCTCTCTGAGTAGCAAGCGGCACCTCATCTTCCACTGACTTCAGGGGTTAGATATGGTTCTAGGAAGTCTCATGTATACAAAGGCACATCGGTGAGAACAGAGCAGACTGTCCTTTCTGGGCCGACAAGCCGATATGGAAGCAGCAACTGGAAGACACTGCAGTAAAAGACAATAACGGGAAACGTTCGGGGCATGAGGGATGAACTACTTCCTTCCACGTAGGAAGAACTAGAGGGTTAGCTGAACTAGAGGGTTAAGGGGGTTAGGATTTGAAAGCTGAAGACTGCAGGTGACTGGACATTAACTACATGAAATGAGAAAGAGAAAGAGATTTTGGCCATGGAAACCACATATTAAAAGAGCCTTCAAGTAGGAGCATGGCACCCACCAGGAAATGAAGGAAGCCCTGTCTCAAAAATAAAATAAAATAAAATAAAGTAAAATAAAATAAAATAAATCAGAAAACAAAACAACAACAAGATATGACACTGCGAGCCTCTAGATCAAGCTGACTTGGAACCCAACTCCGCTGATAAACTCATCAGATACCTAACTCAGCATCTTTCTTCATTTTTCAAGACTTGGCGAATTAGGCTTCTATCTTTAGAAACTGAATCAGTCCCCAAAATAGCCTAGAAGTTGAATAGCTGGAATTTGTAAGGTCTAGGGGGCAACTACCAATGCAAACTATCCCTTAGGTCTAAGAGACCATATGATATGCGTTCTGCCCAGCAGGGAGCTGATCATGGAAGACAGGGAGTGAAAGCAAGAAGACCGCAGTTAGTACAACCTGTAACCACGTGGGTCTTCCCCAGACCAGAATGAATACCTTCAACATCCTAGGATAAAGACATCAGAAACCCACTCTCCCTCTTCCTGGCCATGGAAGATATTTTCATTAGGCAGCACAGCTTAAATTTCCTCTAGAACCAAAACAATTTACCTACTGAACAACTATGAATGTTTTTCTCGTCTCAGATACTATACAAGGAAAATAGTATGCTTCCTATTTCATGGAATTTAGAGACTAGAGGAGGAGACAGATGCTGAATAAACATTTGCAAATATATAAACTATTTTTAAAATAGAAGCTGTATCAGCGGTAGTGAGTTTTTGTCAACTTGACACAAACTAGAGACACCTGGGAAGAAGGAACCTCATTGAGGAATTTCCTCCATCAGACTGGCCTGTGGGCATATCTGTGGGGCATTTTCTTGGTTTCTGGCTGAAATAGGAGGGCCCAGCCCACTGGGGGTAGGGCTATCCCTGGACAGGTGGGCCTGGGCTATATAAGAAAAATAGCTAAGCAAGCCTGGAGGAAGCAAGCCAGTGAGCAGCATTCCTCTGTTTCTCTCTGGTCTCTGCTTCAGCTCTTGCCTCCAGGTTCCTGTCTTAGGTTCTTCCCATGACGTCCCTCAATGATAAACTGTTATTTATAAAGTGAAATAAACTGTTCACCAAGTTGTTTTGGTCAGTGTTTTATCACAGCAACAAAAGGCAAACTACAACAATGGACACTATAAAGATGTAGTGAACCAAATCCAGAGGTCAAGTAGGACCTACTAAAGCTGGGCTGTAAAAGACTAGGTGGGAGTAGAGAAGATGGAGGAATGGAGGGGTCTACACAGAGGCAATGGAAGACAGGGAAGAGTGTGGCACGGAAAGACAACTGTGGCTGAGTGGCAGTGTGGGAGGTAGTGGACCAGGGACACTGGGGAGATCTGAGACAGGCAAAGATACCATTGTGCAGGTCCTGAAAAGCCTAAAGTGTTTGTAAATTATCTCCAAGCATAGTTGGAAGCCACTGAAGAATTTAACACGGTGGAGAGTCCCCCTCAGATTTGCATTCTTAAATATTGCGCTGATTTCTGAATGGAGATTAGACTGACGGAACAAGGCAAGTCTGGGTGAGAGTTGAGATTTGTCTAGATGAGGACACAAATACGGAAAGGAGGCATTGACAGAAAGGAGACACATTCAAAAGGTGGCATCAACAAGATGCGAGGCTGGCTGAATGTGGAAAGGAGGGCAGGGGAAGTGAGCGCAGGGGAGGGGGTTGGAGGAGAAGGCAGGGGAGGCCGGTGCTTTCTGGACTCTCTTCATTGGAACCCAGGGATGCTGGGCTTGATCCTGAAGGTCCCAGTGAAGTAGTATTTGAGTCATTTCACCCCAATCTATCCACTTTAAACTCTTTCCACATAAATCTGTAGTAGGTTTTTATTTTTCAAGTGATACGAGGATAGAGAAGTTGGAGAAGCATCACAAACATCAAATGCTTAGAAACCAAGTAGGAGATGTTTCGTATTTTTTTCTTGTAGGCCAAGCACGATAGGAAATGGCTTACCTGCTTCAGGTGAGCATTTAAGCCTTCATGAGTGGCCTTCAGCAGGGCCCTCACTGTGAAACTGTCAGGGTCTTCTTTGTCTCGAATTTGAGACTCTTTTAACAGTGACTCCAGTTTTTTCCTTATGAAAGATTCTACCTGGTGCTCAGTGGTCCCGTTGTTCTGCAGAGAACGAAGTAACACAAACGATTCCTTGAGAAACAGAATCAAGTAGAACATGCCTTCTGTGCAAGACAGCGTTGGTTTCATCATGTCATTATCTCGAAATTGTCCTACCAACTAAGAAGTCCTACAAAATAACGATTCTCTGCCAGATGCTCTTCGTAGTACTGTGTTGAATCCTCAAGCCTGCATGCTACCCTGTTCAACCTTATAACCGCTTATTCTCTTTTCATTTCAGCAATGCAGAATCAGATGCCTTGAGAAATTAACTAAGTTTTTTTGTTTTGGGGTTTTTTTTTTTTTTGGTCTTTTTGAGACAGGGTCTCCCTGTAACCCCAGCTGTCCTGGAACTCACTATGTAGACCAGGCTGGCCTTGAACTCACAAAGATCTGCCATGGTTTACAAAGCTAGCTAGTAACTGAGGTAAGACTGTAAACCTTTCTGTCTCTGATATTTCATGCCTTCAATAGAGGACAAGCCAGGGAAAACTTCTGGAGACTAAGTTTTCTATACCCACACATTTATAGAGTAAAATCACTATTTTTAAAATTGCTTCCTTCACTAGGGGGCAAAGAATGCTATGGAAGTTTCCAGCGTGGCAGACTCTGCTGAGACAAAATTTCTTTCCTGTCTCCAACCCCACGGTATCATCAGAGGGAACAGAATGTTGACTTGTGCTATGACGTGTCACTATGATTATTTTTAAGATCACAGAATTTCAGGGGTTTGGGGGCTACAGAGATGGCTCAGTGGTTAAGAACACTGCCTGTCCTTGCAAAGGACCCAGGTTCAATTTCTAGCACTCACATGGTAGCCAACAACCATCCATAACTCAGTTCCAGGGGACCAACTCCCTCTTCTGGCCTCCATGGGCTTTGCACAACAAAGGTACACTTATACACATGCAGGCAACACACTCATGCACATAAAAAAAAAATAAGTGATTTTTTTAAAAATTTAAAAAACAGAATTTCAAGGGGTTTGGATAACAAAGCTATCCCCCAGTTTCATGTAAGTTTTAGGTGCTCAAGGCACAACATGTCCTGGAAATCTCACACAGCACAGAGCCGGGCCACCTCTCCCTGCCACAAACCAGTGGGCCTAGGCTGTGCTCATTACACCTCTGTTGTTCAACTGTTGTTTACCTGTCCTTTATCCAGCCTTGCTCACAGATTCTCCAATCACCCGCTGATGACCAACCTACCCTAGAACAATTCCTATATTCATCACTAAAGGTTTAAGGCTGCTTCTTTTCCATCTGAAAATATATTACTAGGAGGTTATTATACTTGAACCCTGCAGAATGGATAACTCTCTAATATTACATTCATTTCACAGACTCCTGTAAGAGCAAGGCAATATAAATGCCATAGGGAAATTAAAAAATAACACCTACATCAGGATGGATTACTACATTTCCCTGAACTAATATCACATACATTAATATCCCTAACATATCCAATTAACAAGGCACTCCACCCACTGGAGACTCCCAGGCTCTGAAGGAGACACAAAGATGAAAAAGAACTAGCACTTGACCTCAGAAGTTGACAATCCATTATGCCAGCAAAGACATAATTCCAAATGCCCATTGTGTTCTGCACAGCTGCCTTCAAAAGCAGCTATGACTGGTGAAGTCACAGGGATTCTGGGGAAGAACATGCCATTCCTACAGGAGAGGCTGAGAAGGCCTCAAAGAAAGGTGAGAACTGACTAGACAGCTGAGATTTCAATGGTGAGGAAGAGAAGGGATTCCCTACAAGGCACAGTTCCAACAAAGGCATGCCAATCATGTCCTAGAAACACAAGGAGCGCTTGAGGTTTCCTAAGCAGAAATTCATTGCAGAGTGAAGTATTGTGGGGGCTGGAGAGACTTGAAAGCCAAAAGACGGAACAGCTGAGAGTTCTGCATAGCCAAGTGTCAAGAGGTACTTTAGAAATAACAGCAGCCTGGCAGCATAGACTGAAAGAGGACAGGAGTCCGCAGATGAAAATCCAGGTACACCAGTCTCCATGGCAAGCACTAAGCACCCAAGCTAGGGTGCTGGGGATTTAATAAAGATGAGAGTGAGTTTAGGGGGAAACTCATTTTGCCTAAAACAAACTTGTACTGAATTTCTGCTATATGCCAGGAGAGAAGCACTAATAGGGGCACAGAGCCCTCAGTGTCATGGAGAATCATCCACACAAATCAGCATGAGTCACAGGCATGTGGGGTACCATGGGAGCACAGGGGAGGGGCTCCTCATTTGCCTTGGGAATTCTGCTTCTTGGAGTGGAAGACACATGGGCCAAGATGTCCTAAAAGATGGGAGTACTGATTGCCTGTGATTACTATAACAAATTACTCAAACCTTGCAGCTTCAAACAACAGAAATTTATTTTTTCACTAGTCTAGATGGTGAAAGTCTGGGCCAAGGTGGTGGTGGGCCACAGTCCCTCTGAAGCCCTCGGGAGGATATGTCCTTGCCTCTTCCCACCTATGGTAGCTGCATGCATTCCTTGACTTGTGGCAGCAGAAGATCTCTACCTGGGTCTTCACTGGGTCTCCGGTGTGACCCATCCTCTCTGCCTTCTCTTCTCAGAACGCTCGCACTAGATTTGAGCCAGGTTAAGCCAGGATAATCTCATCTTAAATCCTTAACTGAGGAGAGCTAGGGTTTTGCTCTGGATTGGGCTTTGGCTTACAGGAACGTTGTGGCTTGTCAGACCTTTTATCCAGACCACTACCGCTATCAATAGTATCTGCTGTAAGGTTGTCTTTACTTTCTTCCCATTCACATATTCGCTGGACTAGAACCCTCCATTTCCTTCAACAACGGTCCCTTGTACATTCAACAGTGGCCAGTTGTTTGGCAGGAGAGGCCTTGCCTTCAGCCAGCGGCTTCTGCTTCCCCATGCCTTCTTCCTGAGCTCCATCAGTTCCAGCTTTTGATTGGAAGAGAGAGGCATGCAATTCTTCCTTTCACCTGAGCACTTGGGGGCTTCTGTAGAGTCACTAATCTAATTTCAATATTGTTGTGTATCAGAGAATAGCAAAGCCTAAGGAGGACAGAGCTGGGGAATGACAGGTTGGTGGGGTGCTCAGAATGCACATATTTTCAGATTAAGTCCACTCTTTGGGGCATAGTTCTTGGTATCCCAAAATAATGACAATAGTAACATCAAAGGCTACAAACTGAGCTGGACAGACAACTCAGCAGGTAAGTGCACTGACTGCTCTTCCTGAGGACCAGGGTTTGTTTCCGAGCACCCACATGGCAGCTAACAACCGTCTGTCACTCCAGTTCCAGAGACTCTGACACCCTCTTCTGACCTCCACAGGCATTACACATAGGGAGCACTTACATACATACAGGCAAAACACTCACACGTAAAATAAAATAAATCAAAAAAAAAAAATTTAAGATTGCAAATCACCAGGCATAAGAAGAAGAAAGTTTGATCACTGTGAAAATTATCAAAACATGCCCTAGAGCAACAAAGGGACACATTTTATAGGAAAAACCAGGCTGACAGACTTGTTCAGTACAGAGTTGCAGCAAATCTACCACTTGTTTTTTTCTAAAAAAAAGAGCAGTATTTGTGAAAGGTAAAAATCAAAGTTCAAAACAATATGATATGCCTATTTGGAAACAGCAAGGAAGACTCTGTCCTACGGTACCTTGCAATGCACTGCCCTATAACAACACTATTCAAACCACGCAACACCCTCTAAGGCACAGCCAAGTCCAACTCACTATGTCATAGACACAGAAATTCAGCAGCTCACCAGCCTAAGAATGGTAACACTGAGGCAAGACCTAACACTTCCCATTCAAAATCTCATCTACTTCACCCATACGATGCCGCAGCCATTCCTTTCACATTGCTGCAAAAAGAGATTAATTCTTGAGTCGAAAAGATGCTGAGTGGGTTTGTATTTAAACAACCACCATTCATCATTGTTCTGAATCCCTCTGTGGAAAACAGTAAGTAGGCTTCACTTAAGGCCACAGTGGGCCCAGAAAAGAGCTCTGGTTCTCTTAATTCCCAGTGCATTTGATCAAGTACCCCTGAGCCTGGTGGGGAGAGCTTGTGGAGACTGAGAAAGCTTGTAGAAGCACTGGGCATGCCTTGCATCGATCACAGAGTGCTCCAAATACCTTCCGTTTCCTTTCCTCACTTGGGGCCCCACAAAAGTTGGAGACAATGACAAGATGCGCTGTGGGCATGCCAGCAAAGCAGAGCTAACGCTCCAAAGCCAGAGCCAACTAGTTCAGGTGGGCTGAGAAGTGCTACACAGGGGCTGAAATTCTTCACTTCGCGTCCTCTAAACACTGGGGTTTGCCAAGGGAATGATATCCCTGCCTATTGATCTTTCTATTCTTCTCTGTGATTTTCATCACAAGAAAATTTGCAGCCACAGAGAACAAATAAATGTGTGGCTGGGGTTTCATTACTATATTGTCATTCAGTCCTGGAATCCAATAGCACTGCTGAAAGAAAGCTAGACAGACTCCTGACCTATCAGCCTCCACACAGCTGTGGCAGGGACCACAGCTGAGAGCCCCAGGAATCTCATTCTTTTGTTCCTAGAGTCAGGGGGAGACAAAGGATGCTGCTACAGGGAGAAGGGGGAGAACAGCCATTTATGGCCAGGAGCAGTTTCTACCAGAGAAGTAGTTAGGGTTTCTAATTCCTTTTCTGAGAGATTAAATCTGATCTAGGAATCTTTGTCACCAATCAATCAATTAATTAAGCAGTCGATCAAACACATTCTCATTTCCTCCCCAGCACGAACTAAAGCCTCGTTTGCAAGGCTAAAGGAGGCCCCAGTCTAGACTAGGAAGGAACAGGAAAGGAGGGAGACTGAGTCAGACAGCGCTGATGTTTCACTGGAGTTACTGGGGAAGTGTACAAAATTCCCAGGGGACACCCAGACCAATTATACCAGACTCTCTGGTCTGAGACACCAGCACTAGGATTTCCAAAAGCTCCCTTGCCATACCTACATGCAGCTAAAGTTGAAGACCTTTGCTTTAAAAACCAAAACAAGAAAATAAGAAACTAGAATATCTCAACACCCCCAAATGTCTTTGGACTGGAGTCTGGCAACATGAAGAATAATATATTTGCTGCACCTTGAATTGCCTTACAAAGCTTCAAGCCTGCTTCCTCAAGGCATGGTCAGAGAGCAGTTACTCTTCAACCACTTGAGTCTGCATTTGTTCCTGACCTGTCTGCTCCTTTGCCTCCCTTAAATCATGTTCAAGGATCAGGTCAGTCTTATCATGTGCCTCAAAGAACTGGAATCTTCCAAGACACCTCCGCTCTTCACTCTGTGTTTCCAGGATAGGACCCGATGCTCATCAAGTGGTGTCTCATCTCAGAAAGAACACAGGAGTCATAAGATATCTCAGCCTCAAGAGGTAGCTCAGCCCTTCTATGAATGCTGGTCAGTTTGAGAAGAATAAAGTTCATAATTTTTTAAATATCTCAAAGCATTAAAATGAATTAGGCAGGAAAGAAGATGAACTTGTACCTGTGGTAGTGGGAAGGGAAAATGATAAAAATTGTTGAGAGAGAGAGAGAGAGAGAGAGAGAGAGAGAGACTGAGACCAGTGTGAATGTTAGAGTATTAAAGGATTACTAAAGGTGCGACGTGGGAGACATGTACACATCAGTTAGAATGTGTCGGAAGGCTTGGCGTTTGTGGGATGAGCTTCATGTAAGAGACAGCTAATGTTTGTGCCCAACAGGCTGACAAAACACAGATTTGATTTGGAAAATATAAGAAAAATGATACTAAAACACTCAACAGAAGAAAAAAAATCAGTGAAGTTGAAATACAGGAATGGGAAGTCTGTGCAGCACACTGACGCAGAGGGTCTCATGAAGGAGAGCAATGCTGAGCTGGCTGCCTGCCCTGAATCAAGTCTGTTAGATTACTGCACTGTGGCTGAGAGGAGACCATCCCCTGAGTCTTTGAGCTGTGTGGTTCTTGGGTCACTGAACACATTGGCTTTATCCTGTGACTTACATATCATGATCCAGATTCTCTGTATTGCTGAAGCTATAAAGTAATAATATACAGCAGAATCTTAGAGGAGTCAAAGCACAGCAGAAAACATTCCCTACAAAGCAAAACCATAGCGTGGCTTGAATAGCGGATCAGGAGGAGCCCTGCCCTCCTGCTCGGCTTCTAATGCTAGTCTAAGTGGGATGCTGGTGAGCCACAAAACTCCCTCCTGGTCTTCACCCCGGGGTTCGCTCTGCCTGGAATATTCTTCTCCAGATACTAACTGCGCTAATTCTTTTTCTTTAGATTTATGGTTGAATACATCTTCTAAGGGAGGCCCATATGGACAGTCCCTCTAAAAATTCACACTCACCCCCAAATATATATACACTCACACCACGTAATACACACACATACACACACCATGTACATACACAAGCACCACATACACCACATATATATACACATCACATATACACACCACACACACACTACATACACCACATATACACATACTGCGTGCACACACACACCACATACATGCACACATGCACGCACCTTTTTCCTTCAGCACTTAGGACTGTCCAGAGTACTATATATGCCACTCATTTGCTATGGTTTTTGTCTACCCTCCCTCTCAATGAGTGAACCCCAGGAAGACCAGGACTTCTGTCTATTTAATTTACTCCAGTAACATCTAATGCCTACAAAGGTGATGGTTCATCTTCAACAGGAAATGCTCAGTAAAAATGGTGGCACACACAAAGAATCTTTCATAACCTCATGAACGCTAGTGTTCTGGTGTCCATGAATGTTGAGTTAAAATCTTATTACAATAATTCAGATATAACTTATAAACCTAACCACATACTTTCAACTTATAGCTGAAGTTAAGAGTTTCCTATAAGGTAAAGGCATGTTCACATAAGGTAAAGGCATGTTCACATAAACAACCTGCATTCTGCCTTGTTTTGCAGAAATACGATTATGGGTATTTAAATTTACCACCCAGAGAAGACAATTGATCTCCCTACTAACCATAGGCTATAAGTAGACTGATCGCAAGAGACTGCTTTGGTACTGCAAACACGGTTTATGATAAGAGCTCAAAAACAGAGAAGCAAATGTAGTATGAGAAATTTGTATACATTTACTAAAATGTTGGGTTTTTAAAAACCCAACACATTTCTTCCTCGATATACATCAAAGCTGCATTTGTGAAGCTTTATACATAAGGTGCTCTCCACTCCAAGTGAAAGAATTCAAGTGGACAGCCATGTCTATCTTTGTGGAATCAGATTCTAAAGTATCCGCTTGTATCGGAGCCTAGAAATCAGCTAGTAGACTTTGGACATGAGAGGGAAACCACTGGTTATGTTAGGTGGCATTACTTATCTGTTCCCATAAAATTATATTCAATGGACTTTTTTAGCCACAGATATTTACCATAGAAAACCAGAAGTTTTGCCAAGCTGAGGCAGGAGGACCAGCCAGCTCAAGGTCATCCTGGGCAACTTAGGCTGGGTCTCGAAACAAAAGGTAAAGAGAGGGGAAATAGCTCAGTGGTAAAGCACTTGACTAGCATGTATGAGAACCTGGGTTTAATCCCTAGAACTGCAAAAAAGGGGAAACTTCACATTTGAAGAAAGCCTGAATGGATTTAAGATTCATATCAATTCCGTTTGTGCTCAGAGGGAGGAACGACTGTGATATTTTCCCATCATCACTAAACAGCATTCCCTGAACAGGAAACCCAGGGCCTCTGCTTCCTGCCGGCAGATGGTAAATCACTCTGTGGTTAGCAACTGAAAGAGCTGAGAAATTAGATGCAAAAGGACAAGAATCAGAAAAACCCTGCTTTGTAAACTAAGACTCTGAAAGGTTAAATTATCCATAATCAAAAGCTATCAATTGTAATGATAGCAAATATCTAGAAAAGCGTATTTTAAAATATTTAAAACTGTAGCTAGGCTAGGCTTTCTGGTGATCCTTTTAGTTAGGGGTATTTAACTGAGTTAACAGAAACTACTGAGAAGGAAGAGAGGAACTCTGAAATTTTTGCTTTTGCTTTAAGCTGAGTCATCCATTTCACCCCTTCAAAGTGCTTTAAAACCAGAAAGGTCTACTGAGGCTTCAGTTGTCATTAAGATCTTGTCCCCTCTGCAAATAATGTCAGCTCCCTTTAACACCTTAGAGATAAGGCATCAGGATTACTGTAATTTGGAAGAGAGTGCCTTGCTGTTAACAATATAATCGTTGAGTCCAAGGTGATGGTGTATATTAGAAGAAATTATACAAAATGTATTTGGGGACAGAAAATGGCTCTGATGCCAACATAATTACCACTTTCTGTAGAAATGAAACTATCCCAAAGCCTACACTCCTTCCGGCTTGTCCCAAGGCCACAGAAATCATGTGACTGTTGATGGTAAGAGGGAGAGCACATCTCTTCAAGCCTTATAATTCTCTAGGTTCAAATTGAAACTCTCCCAAACCACATGGTGAAATGGTGCATTTCTGCACAGCAGCTCTTTCACATAGAAAAAGATCTAAAGCTCCAAGCAGGCAAATGGCCTCCATGGAACTAAGTTAGGATGTGATCCCAGTCAAAAGTCCCACATTCAGTCCAGCTAAATGTTCAATTGAACTTGGAAGGGCTTGGAAATCATCTGGACCAAGGTAGATATATACATATCTCCTTAGAGAGGGGCTTGGCATCCTTAGAGTGCAGACTCTCATGCAGCTGGGGTTTGGGGCCACCCTTAGGTACCATGATGAGCAGGCAGCATGCAGGAGGGGAGGCAAAGCCAAACCTTGGAGATTCCACCCAAAACACTAATGTTTCAACCACAGTCTGATTGCTAGTTCCATTACAATAAAATGGAATTAGTCTCTGGAAAGGGTTCAGGTGGGTTTGTCTCTAACACTCTCCCAGTTCTGAGGCAGAGACTCTTGACTCATTCACTCAACAAAGTAACTGGCTATGTGCAAGCACACAAAGTAATTTTAAAAGAATATCCTTTCAAACTACAGTCATCATATTTGTTGATGACTCCAACAGAGCACCAAGGTGGAACCTCATTCTTCCTTCAGTGCATCATGGGTAAAAACTGTGACCACACCTGCAACTTACGTAATGCAGCTTGAATTTGCACTCATCTTCAATCTCATCTGCACTGTCCTCATCGGAGACTTCCCCTTCCTCTGCGTCATCTCCAAGGTGATAAGGCAATTTTTTACCCTGAAATGGATCAAAACATCCCATTTAACAATGAAAATAAATGTACAGCAGCCCAAAGGTAAAGGCAACCCAAATGTCCATTGACAGATGAATGGATTAACAATCTGTGCTCTTCACACACAATGAGCTATTACTCGGCCTTTTAAAATAATTTAATTCTGATACATCTTACACCATGGAACCTTGAAGGCATTATTCATGAGCCATAAACAAAAGGCAAATCTTACATGATTCCACTTATAATAAAGTACATAGAGCTGCAAAGTCATCAAATCAGAAAACAGATCAGTGATAGGAAGGGGCTGGCAGGAGGCAGGAATAGTTGTTGAATGGATATAGAACTTTGGCTTTTCAAGCTGAAAAATGTTCTGATTATACAACAATATGTCTAATCGTTTTAATATTATTGGATTCACACATTTAAAAGTTAAGGGAATGAGTAGGTTTTGTGGTCTCTGTACTTTGCTAATAATTTTAGAAGGTGAAAAAGGAAAATAAAAGGAGCTATGTATCTCATGGTCCATCATTACTTCAGACTGACTGGAAAGCGGGCAGTCTAAAGGAAGGCCAAAATGCAAGCAAAACGGACTTTCATTCCAAAGGTAGTCATAGTACTTTCAATTAAATTGAATTAATTAGTCATGCCATGTTTTAGAGAATCAGACCATCTCCTTTTCAAAAATGTGTGACTCTTGCTAATAAGCATTACCCTGTCTGACTGTAAAACTTTTAGAATCTGATTGCAGGTTCCCCCCTGAAACTCAAAAGCTAGAATCCAATACTACGGGAATTATCAGTGATAGCATTAAGAAACAGGACCTCTGGGAAGTGATTAAGTGATTAGAGTTCCCCTGGACTCCCTTGCCTCTCCCATCATGGGAAGGTACCTATGAATAGGCCCTCACTAGATACCAAATATGCCAAGCCTGGCACAGCAGCTCACGGCTGTAACCCAGTACTTGAGAAGCTGACACGGGAAGATTATGGTGAATTTAAGATTAGCCTGGGCTACACAGTGAGTTAGTTTCAGGCTAGCCTTGGCTACAGAGTAAAACCCTGGAAAGAAGAGAGAAAAAGAGAGACTGAGACAGAAAAAAAACTTGAAAATATGCCAGTACCTACAGGTTGAACTTTTCAGCCTCTGGAACTGTGAATAACAAATTTCTGTGGTTTGTAAACTACCCAGTCTAGGACATTTTGTTATCACAACCCCAAAGGGACTATGGTGTCTAAGAGCAGGCTGCTCTCCTGAGAAGTTCAAGCTGCCTCGAGCACTGGCACACTGGTGCTTCTTTGTACCTGCTGTGTGAGCATGAGGCCCGGAGTTCCCATCTCCAGAAGCCACATAAAGAGGGATGTGTGTGGTGAGGACCTGTAATCTCAGTGCTCCTATGGTGAGCAGGGAGTTGACACAGAACTGGAAGTTTATTGGCTGCCTCAAACAAGATGGAATGTGAGTACCTACACACATTGTTCTCTGACCTCCATACACATGCCCCCCCCCATGAACATACACACGGGTGCATGCTCACATACACAAAGATAAAAAAGACTATCTTTAGGTAGGAGTACTATGAGTGATATTTTTTCTTTTCTGCATTTCCCAATTTACATTCAGAAAAAGTAAAAGCAAATAAAAAAGGCCAAGAGATGGCAAGACCCAGGAGCCTGATAAGGGCTCAAAGGTAACTGTCTACATCAATAGTCTTATTTGTGAGCAGAAAGGAATAGGAATAGGGCACTGAATTGTTCTCAGAAGCTCCTGGAGAGTGGGGTGGGCAGAACCAGGCTCTGACTCTAAGTGACTGAGCCATTATGGTAGGAAGCCTCCAAAGTATGTATCATCCAATGTCTTCTGCCTCCTGTCCCCTTGCCATACTGAAAGACCTTCTTCTTGAGTGTGGGCCAGACCTAGTGACCACTTCTAACACAGAACACAGCAAAGGTGATAGGTGCCCTTCCTGAGGAGACTTCCTTCTTTTGTACTGAATTTTTAATTGAATTTTTACAATTTTCATACAATATAATTTCATGGTACTTATCCTATCCACACCTCCCCTTACTGCCCACTGCCCAACTGAATGTACTCCATTATATATAAAATGCATTTGTGTCTCCAAATGTCCTCCAGTGTGGATCCATCCACTGGAGCCTGGCTAAACTACCAAGAGTCCCAAGCTTAAAAAACACTGTCTCTGCCCCTCCCAGCAGCCACCTGTTGCCACAGTTTCCGTAGGTTGGGGTTGGAGTTTCTTACCCTCTTCCTCATATCTATGCTGAGATTTTGTGTGATTCGAGCTTGCATGGGATTTGTGCATGCTGTCACTATTTATGTGAGATCATATGAGTAACTGACAAGCTGTCTGGAAAACTATCTCCTTATGGTCATCTACCACCTCTGGCTCTTAAAATCTTTCTGCCCCTCTTCTGCAATGGTCCCTGAGGCCTGGGAGGCAGAAACTTGATCTAGGCATCCTATTCGGGGATAAGCACCCTGCAGCCTCTTGTTCTCTGCACATCAGTTGTAGGTTTCTGAGTTAATCACAATCTATTGCATAAGGAAACTTCTCTGGCAAGAGTTGAGAGATGCATTAATTCTGCCAAGATGAGGTGCACACTGACCCAGGATGGGATAGTATCCCTGTCCCTTACTTCTTTTTAGCTTCCATACTACTCTCCTCAGATCTCAATTTCTCTCTTTCTCTGTCTCTCTGTCTCTCTGTGTCTCTCTCTCTGTCTCTCTCTGTGTCTCTCTGTCTCTCTCTGTGTCTCTCTGTGTCTTTCTGTCTCTCTCTCTCTCTCTCTCTCTCTCTCTCTCTCTCTCTCTTTCTCTCTCTCTGTAAATTGTTCAGTGGACAGAACAATTTCTTTTCCCCATCTTGAGGTAACTGTGGCCTTACCTGACGTCTTCACTTGTAAGAGGCTTTGAGCCGAGAATCAGCTAAACCATACCCAGGTACATGACCTATAGGAGCTATGGGATAATAAATATTTGCTTTCTACGTTGCTAAATTTTGGGTCAATTCGCTGTGCAGCCATAGATACTTAATATAATCACCAAATAGAATCATGGGGCAGAACTAATCCAGTGAAAACACCTTGTGCAAAATAATGAGGCACAGAGCTTATCACTTGCAACGTCATCATCCACACAATAGACTTCAGGAACTGTTCCCAGAAAGGCTGCCATCTGGCCCTTGATATTTCTAACTTCCTTCACCACCCTCTCAGCAGGTTGGGCTCAGTTTCGACCTCCTAGTGTTTCTGCTTTGATGCCAGGGGCAGATCACCTGATTGGCAGTTTCCCCCTACTTCAAGAAAGGCTACAAAAGCAAGTATCTCATATTTTCACCTCCTACAAGGGATTACTCAAAACAGAGATGGAAATTCTCTAAACATGGAAGACTTAACATGCTTGGCGGCCAAGCTAATTCTTCCCTCACAGGAGATCAACTTGGGCTGTAAGAGGAGTCTCTATCTCTTGTCCTGCACGTTGCTAGATACCCAAAGCTCAGACCCTGGGGCTTTAGCACAAGGATAATTTCAAAGAGGATTAGATAATGTAGGTAATAAAAATGAATATATTCAGAACCAAAACTAGTAGGATCTGGAGACTTAAATAACCTACAAAATGGCATTTACAAAATTAAAGTGGTAGAATCTAATTTGTGCATTGTCATTGTTTTGTTTTTAAACAGCGTCTTGTGTATCGCAGGATGGCCTTGAACTCACTGTGTAGCTAAGGATGACCTTGAATTTCTGATACTCCTGCCTCCACTTCATAAATTACTAGGATTACATTGCCTTTAGGATCAGAGACTGTTAACCAGAACATCTGCTTTTGCTTTAAATAGGAACATGCTGGAGCACAGATCAGGCCATCTTATTTTTCAAAATTGTATTCCTTTATTTATTTATTTATTCATGTGGCTTATTGAGACAGGATCTCTGTATGTAGCCCAGGCTGCCCTTGAACTCACTGTCTTCCTGCCTCAGTGTGAGATTATAGTCCTGTGCCACCACACCCAGCTTTCTCCTCAACTTCTAAAGAACCTCCCCAACAGCAAACAGGTCTCAGATGTAGCTGAAATGTCTGCAGCCCTGACTGCTGCCACCACTTCCGATGACTGCCTCAGACCTTCTGTCTCATTTATTCTGGTGCCCATAAGCCCTCAGACATTCTGTGCTAAATGAACCAAAGTCTCGCCATAAGAAGGGGCTCAACTGGTTCACATCTACCTTAAATTCCACTGTTTAAAATTAAAGATTTTGAAAAAATGGTCTCCATCTACATTTAATTTCCTGCCTGTTGGGCAAGGAATATTTAAGAAATGTGGAAGTATTTACAATATTACAAAGGTAACAAAGGTAACATTACAATATTACAAATGTTACAAAGGTAACATTTCATTTTCTAATCCAGAAAACATTTTTTTTAATTTTATTTGTTTTATTTTATGTGTATGCGTGTATTGCCTGCATGTAGATAAGTGCCCCTGGGACTGGAGTTACAGACAGTTGTTAGCTGCCATGTGGGTGCTGGGATTCGAACCCAGGTCTTCTGCAAGAACAATCAGTGTTCTTAACCACTGAGCCATCTCTCCAGCCCCAAAAACCAATTTTTAACAACAGTGGTTATCTTTAGCCAGACTTGTGAAAGTTGACCTGTCACATTATCTGAAGCTTTTATTCAAAATGAACTTATACATACAAGTGCCTGACAAGACCTCTTTGATGGGTTCTGAATCTTTAATTGTCATTTAATTGCTAGAAAAGCAGGTTTTGACCAATTCTGAAGATGAGTTCATTTTCTCTTCTCTGTGCGCTATCCCCTTCCTTCAGGCTCTAAAGTTCTGCCATGAAATGTGTTGTTCCCTTGGCGCTCTTACATCACCAATGTGGTACACAGCCTTTTTAAAGTAGCCTGCTGCTCTGTTCTTTAAGTTTTCAGTCTCAAAACAATGCAACCTTCCAAGGTCTTAGTTAAAAAAAAAAAAAAAAGGCCCTGGAATTAAGTGAAATCACAAAGTCAGCGATCTAAAAGCTCAAGGAACTGTCTTGCTGACTGTTCTGTGTATTAATAATATTCATTGTGGTAAGTTTCCTCTGAGGAAAATCTATTGATGAAATGTCATTCTGCCTACCCCATCTCCTCTTGTAGCCATGAGTCCTGTGGGGAGTTATGTCTGTGCTCATGATCCTGTTTGACGTGAGCGTTTCTTACTTATGTAACCAAGACCAATCAACCATGAAGATTTTTTTCTTTTGACAGACAGTTATTGGAGCTTGAAATGGGAGAAAAGAATCTGAACGAAGTGCCTTCAAGATACAGAGTCGGAGACTTTTCGTCTCTCTTGCATCTCACATTCCCATACGCACATTTCTGTGTGAACTCTTCCAGTCTAAAACAGCTTGCACAGCATTGATAGTCATAAAAACAAATCCCAAAGCATCCAATCATTCAACCATAATTTTCCTCTGAAGGCGTGACTATAGATTGAAATAAGGTGCATATATAGATCTAGACAATCGTTAACATGTATTGATTCTAATTATTATTTTCTTTTTAAACTAGTATGCTTTAGTCAGAAGGGAGGGAAGATGAGGTTGATCACTAATGCTTTCAATGCTTTGATTATGCCCTTAATTACCTTCACCAGGATTTTGCCTTTCAGACTCTGAGGACTTGGGAGCTGCCTGCACTCTCCTGTGTCGACAGAGGAGAGGTCCAGTTTATCTTTGAATATTCCTTTCAGGTACTGAGCAATCTTCCTTTGCTGCTGGATACTGCAGTGATTCTCAATAGACAGTATAACTGGAAATCTGAGAAAACAACAACAATTCCAAGGGCATTCAATATGGGCGATCCATAAGGAGCCAGAGAAATAATCTGTATTCACTGCAGTCTTACAATCCCACTGACTATATTTGCAATATTAATAATGATTTAAAATGCTGCTAAAATAAGAAAGATTACAGGTGCTGTAATGAAAATTCCTCTGAGCAAATGTATTTTGCCAGGGATAATGACTGAACAAATATTAATTCTTTCAGGATGACTTTAATACTTGGCATCACGCAAAAAGTATGGAATGTGTTTTTAAAAGAAAATGGAAGTCAAAGATGCTGCTAAACACCCTATAATGCCAAGATAGCCCCCAACAACAAATTATCTTGCCACAAATGTCCATAGTGCCGAAGTTAAGAAACCATGGTAAGGGGCTGGAGAGATGGCTCAGGGGTTAATACTTGCTGTTCTTCCAGAGGATCTGGGTTCAATTCCCAGCATCCACATGGCAGCTAACAACCATCCAGTACTCCAGTTCCAGGGGATCCACACTCTCTTCTGGCCTCTGCTGTCATCACATGCACACGGTGCACTTATATACATGCATGCAAAACACTCATAGACATAAAATAAAAATAAAATACTTTTTTTAAAAAAAACATGGTAAAAAGAAATAATTTGAAAAAGGCTCAAACTTTTAAATTTCCTAAATAAGTATATAACATGCTTTCATTTAAAGTACATTTCTTCTAAGCATTCTTAAGTTTGAAGTGAAGGGTCTGGACACCAGGCCCTGTGAGGAATGCAGGTGCCAATCTTTCTTAATGCTGTTTCATATACTGGGTAATACAGACATATAAGACAACAGAAATCAGGGTTGAAAAGCTGATGAGAACTTAGTGCTCAATATTCCTCCAGATCAAATATGCCCCAAACTAAATTTAACTATGCAGCAAGAATCTCTTGTTAGAATATCATTTTAACCTCATGTTTATAATTAGACCAAATATTAGACATTTAAAAGCTACTATTGAAAAATTAATTTTATGGAATTATAATTTTAATTTGCTTCTTTAATTAAAAAATATTTTCCTGTATGCTTGGTATACTCAGGGTACATGCTAAATAGCAAGGAATGAATAAGAAGTGACTAGGATATAGCCTCTTTTTTCAATGAGTTCACCACCTCACACATATAGCAAGTTTTAGCAGGGTACTATATGCTCTGACATATATTTTCAGGCAGATAAATATGGAGAAAGGGAATATAAGTGAGCTGGGGGGGGGGGGCAATATGCTTCCCAGTGTGACAGTGCTTAAATAATCTGGTTGGATAAAAAAGAACCAGGTAGGTGGCACATTAGGAAGGGTGCTCCTGGCAAAGGGCAGCATATCCTAGGGTGGGAGCTGTAAAAGTTGAAGGCTTTCTGGGAAGGTGAGAGGCAGTTATTAGGAGCAAATGCTAGGTCCCTATGGAGCAAAGGTGGAAGGAGATCTGGAAGAGAAGGAAATAGTTCCGCCTTAAAGCACATGAAGATATCCTGGGCGCTGTAGAGGATTTAGAAAGGACTCCAGGACAAGAATTAAAGCCTCATGCAGGTTTCAGAAAGAAAGAATGGCATCAGCGTGGAGGATGAGCCCAAGGGAAACGAGAATAAACGGAAGCAATGACATCAAAGAACAGTTACATTTCCTCTGCTGGATGTCCTTTTTAATATTTTACTTATCATTTTTTATTTTATGTGTATGACTGCATGGCCTACATGTATGTAAGTGCACCCATGTTATGCAATGCCCGTGGAGGTCAGAAGAGTGAGTCAGAGCAGCCAGTGTTCTTAACCACCGAGCCATCTCTCTAGCCCCCTCTGTTGGATGTCCTATGTATCTCAAAGTGTCTGACATCCAGCATTTTATTATATATAATGTAATGTCACAAAACTATTTTGTATAATAACTTGTTTCCAAGCTTTACAAGTTTAGAATTTTAGAAACTATTCTTTGCAGGGATGTTTTCAAGGAGACAGGATGAGAGAGAACGGCATTAAGGAGAAAGTGGGGCACAAGGATGCACAAACTGGAAGGCCATAGTATCTGTTCCCCATCTTTGCTGGGAAGGAAAGAGGGAACCAAGGCCATAGAAACAGAGGTGAGGAGTCAAGAGTGTGTGGTTATAACTGTGTTCATTCAGGCCAGGCTCCTGAGTGAGGCATGGAGCTGAGCTCCCAGGAGTACTTACTCATTCTTCACAAAGGCATGCCTATTGATGGTCTCCACAACATCTCTGAAGAGGATTTTTGAAGTGAGAGTATAACCATGGTGCACCACTGGCTCTCCATCTGGACCATCCCAGCAGTCAACTGCCAGACACAGAACTTCACATCAACAACCTGAAGTCTCTGGAGCTTCTTAATACTTGCAAAACTACCAGACACATTCATGATTATTATTGGAAAATTATATATACTACAATCATGACAAAGGCATGGAGATAAAGGCATGCACATTCTGACATACCCTTCAGAATAAAGAATTAAAGGTGTAAGTGATTTGCTTTTTTGAGAGCTTATAACTTACAAAGTTGTCATACTTCTAAGTCGCCTAGCATTTACTGAAGGTTGTGTTGGAAATCATCTAAAACAAACCAAACATACCCAAATATGTGATATCTCATTTTTAAAAATACATCAAAAATAATTTTTCTTTATTATAACCCTGCATAGTCTAAACAAAGTATTTAAAACCCACTATCAACTCCCGAGTTAAGTTACAGATTATGAGCAAGAAACTTTGATTTTCTTCTTACATAGTAATCTTGAGTTCAGCATTCTTCAATTTAAAAGCCTCTGGCTAAAATATTAATAAATGCATATTTGAAATACATGCACAAGCTTTTGGAGAGTTTTCACAACTCTCTGATGTCTGTGAAGATTTATTTTCATCATATGAATATCCTTGGAGGCTTTAAACTACGTTCATGTTTCTTGGAGTTGCTGTCATCTTTTAGAACACTACAGTATCCCTCTCAAATCACTGACAGGGCTTTTCATAATTGTTCCTTTAAATCTATCATGTTTCCATTTGATTTACTTCCATTTTGCTAATTGTATGGCATTATAAAATAATATTAACTTCCTAAGTTCAAATCCTCAGTCGTAGCATAATTTATGTGACTATGAGCAAATGATTCAGCCGTTTGAAGCTTTCTTTTGCCATCTATAAAATAGAAATAATAGCTGTGCTTAAAAGTATAGTGATTGAGTGATGATTAAGTGTCCATAAAGTTGCTTACGACACTACATAACACATAGTAACAGTTTCTGTTATTGATACTGTATTATGAACAAAGACAATCTCATTGGTTCCCAGCAAGATAGACAAGATTTCCCTACCACCCTCCTTACATGAAAGTTGGCTTTTACTTCTTTTATATTCTTCTGGTAGATTCATCTTAAAACACTGATTACACCAGGTCACTTCTTTGCTCGAAGCTCTCCTAGGCACTTACTCAGCATCCTACTATATGGTTTCTACATATGTGGTAAATTTATTAATAAATAACTTACAGCAGCTCCTATATGATTAACCCTAGATTCCCATTTCTAGTGCTAGTGACTTGGGAGGCATACACTAAGCCTCCCAGTTATAGAACTGGACTACATTTCCCAACATTCTCTTGAGGGTATGGCCACTGAACCACAAGCAAAAATGATATGCGGGGCTGGAGAGATGGCTCAACCATCTCTCAGATGGTTAAAGGCGCAGGTTGCTCTTGCAGAGGATCTGGGTTAGGTCTCCAGCACTCACAAGACAGCTAGCAACCATTTATAACTCAAGTTCCAGAGGATTTGATGCCCTCTGCCTCTATGGGCATTGCACATGGTGCACTTAAGTACATTCACATAAAACACTCCTACATATAATACAAAAATAAATTTTTAAAAAATTTTAATGATATGTACCACTTCCTGTCTGGCCAATGGAAGCTTGCCTTCCATCTGCATCTAGCCCTTTCCTCTTCTGCTATGACTTTACAAGTTACGTACCAAAGATGTGGCATAGGCCAGGGTTAGAAAGCTGGATTCCTGAATCATTGGTTGGAAAATTCACACCTATTGTAGACTTCACATAAACAAATTGTAAACTTCCATTTCAAAAGTGGATTATTTGCCAATATTTAAAGACTTTGAAGTTTAAAGGAATCACTGTTGCCTCAGCAACCCCTCAGTTATCTCAGTAAGTAAGTTCAATAAATTCATTGGTTCCCCAGTAAAACTTTAATGAAACATTGACTTGACACTAGAACCTTAAAGGAGCATAAGAATTGCTTAGCATCCCCAGGAAAAGAAGTCTCAGATGGAAAATTTATTTGTTAATGCTATTATGTCTCATAATTATTCTTTTAAAAAAAAGAAAATGAGAACGTAAACCCTTCCGATGAGTTAAGATAAGTTTGAACAACCACCAATTTTCTTAGCCTGCAACCAGACCATGGCGCCAGGTCCCCTCATCCTAGGGACATTCATTAACCCATTGAGACAACACCTTCCCTCCCTCTTCCCCAGCTAACTTTCCGCTTCAGCCGGTATAAGAATCCCCGTGGAAAAATAAACTTTGGCAGCTTGATCAGAGTTCTTTGTCTTGCTGTCATTCTTCGTGTCTCTTGTCCCATCATTCCAGGTCCCTGGGAGTTCGAGTCTCCATCTCCCGCCCTGCTGGCCAGGGCACCCAGGAAAAGAAGTCTCACCACCGATGGAAATTTTATTTATTAATGCTATTATGTATCATAAGTATTTTTAAAAAAAGAAAATGAGAATGTAAAAGATGTTAAAAAGATATGGGAATAGAGATATTTTCCAAAATAGAAAAAATGAAAAAGCCTAAGCAACTGATGAAGGTCTATTTAGGTTTGCAATATATAAAGGATAAGACAAAAATAATATACACATAATCTTAAATTTTCTATGGTCATAGTTTAGTCAACTAGTATAAGGAACAAAATATATATCTAGTCAAGGTTTATCTGAGAGTATCTGGTTTTTTACCCAACCCTTATCTATATAGCACATGATAATTAAAAGTACCAGACTGGTGGAACCAACCTTCTTGGATGTTTAACAGTCATAGTTTGAGGCCCTTACTAATGTGGTCAGAGGGACTTAAAAGACAGTTTTTGCTCCTTTCCCTCCAAGGTTGACTAAGTTCCAGGGTACTAAGGAACATCTCTCAAAATGTCCTGAAACTATGGCGAGCCACCTGTCCTCTTGTTCAGGGAGGACATGGAGATCCCACGAGATAGACTTGAACCAGTGTCCAGTCTACAAAGAGGAGGGTCAACTCAGAGGAAGCACCTCATTCATGCTTCCAAGTGAAGCCAGACATGGTCGAACAGGACCTTTGACTTCTCATCACATACATGGACTGGTAAAAGAAAGGAGCCAGGAGCTCCTTCCAAGCCCACATGACCCCTGAGGAAAAGATCCTCAAATGACCTTAAGTATAAAAATAAATTGGATTATTTGGGCCAACTGTATGGTATTAAAACACCCAAAAGGAAACACCCAAAGAATAAACTCATCAGTATACTTCTTTAAGAGTTCAAGGGATTACACTTCCCAGACATTAGGCTTAAGTCTATGAAAAGTTATTTAGACAATTATTTCTCACTGATGATTTTGTTCCTAATCAGAAAGTGCTGTTCAGATGTAAGACTTCAAATATTGGTCTCCAATACTGTAGTGCCCACCCGTAGCTAAGGGAGACAACCAGCTATTGTTCTAAAATGATGGAGAAATTTATTTTCTCCTCCTATCTAGAAGCCTTTGAGAGGGAACTAACACTGATTCTAACCATTCCAACAGCTATCAAAATGCCTGAAAGCAAATCCCGAATCCATCACTCTTGAGTTTAGCCTCGGAAGACAAAAGTTGAAAACAGCCCTGCTCTGACTTTTTTTCTAGTTCTCTGGCTAGAACTTGTAATGCTAACTATCCTTGCCTTTACTTCTCCTTCACATCTCGTAGTCATGTTTCAAAGACTTTCTTTTCCCCTTAAGAGATAAGAGTTATGCAATTTGGGAATCTTTTATATAGACCAATGAAGGGGTACTCTAATTGCCTCACCCTGTGTCCCTGTTCAGCATGGAAGAAGACAGAATGGTCTGCATCGCTATTCCCTATTGGCAATTTGTGTAACCTCTTCAGAGGATGGTGTGATAAGAATAGGAGGTATGAATTCACTAGGCAGTTTAGGGTAAAAAGACCCCAAAGAAAAGTAGCCAGTTTTTTGGGTAAAAGTCAAAATGTCCTTGGGCCTTTTAGCAACATACTCCGTTCCAAAGGCCAAAAATGTTGAAAATATTTGGGAGCTTTTATCTAATCCTTGAAAGATTTTAGGGTTATCTCTTCAGAGGGGGGGGATGGGAACCATAAAAATAAATAAATCAAAGAAGAAAGAGTACGTGAAGTTATCAGAAAAAAAAATGATGGGGAGATATGGGAGGAGTTGGAGGGGAGGGAGTGGGCATGGATTTGATCAAAACACCTCATATGCATGTATGAAATTCTCAATAAATTATTTATTTAAAAAAAGACTTTGTACAACTGACTCATTAAATGTGCAAGACATTCAAAAAGAAAAGCCTACATATATTTTAACAATAAAAATTGACCTGACATGGGTTGGAGAGATGGTGCAGCAGTTAAAAGCACTGGCTGCTCTTGCAGAGGACCTGGGTTCGATTGCCAGCACCCATATGGAGGCTAACAACTATCTGTAATTCCAGTTCCAGGGTATCCAATGCCCTCTTCTGATTTCTGCTAGAACTGTAAAACACTGTGCACTTACACAAATGCAGGCAATACACTTAAAATAAAAATAAATGAAATATATTTTTAAAAATTTACCTGAGGCTTCTTCTAACCTGAAATGAATTCATTTGCAAGTAACTTACGAATTCTTAAGCTAACTATGGGGAAATGGGAGATAATTTGGGCTAAACACTATTCTCCATACTGGATTTGCCTAAATACTTATTAAAACCCTGCCTTAATTAAATTCACACAGTTTAAAGCTGTGCCTGTTCCCTATTTTTATAGAAACTTCCCTGTATGTGGGCTTTGCATATTTCTCCAAGAAATATCTCCATTCCTCATAAAATATTCACCATAGTCATAAAATGACAGTGATGGTTAATTTTAAGTGTCAGTCAAGCTAGCTGTGATGCTCAGCAACTTAGTCAAACTCCAGTCTAGATGTTGCTATGGTATCGATAAATGTGATCAACATTTAAATTAGTAGACTTTGAGGAAAGCAGAGTATTCTCCATTGTGTGGACGATCCTCTTCCAATCAGTCGAGGACACTAAAAGCAGGTATGTATGCTTCCCAAGAAGCAGAAATCCTCTTCAGTACTGCAATATGCAAGTTCTATTTGAGTGTGCTTTAACCTCACAACTAAAATATCACCTTTAATCAAGATCAATCTACGGATTTCAGAATTGCCTGTGACCACAATCACATGAACCCATTCCTTAAATTCAACCAAACAATCCCAATCCCAATTTATTTTTCTTTATCTTATTGGTCCCTTTTCTGGAGAACTTTAATTAATACAGTTATCTCTATCCATCCATTAAACACTGGTCAGTCAAAAACGTCTATGTGGTAGCTAAGCTTGGTTGTCAACTTGATACACTTAGGGTGACGGAACCTCACCTGAGGAATTTTCTTTATCAGATTGACCTATGGGCATGTTTGTGGGGCATTTTCTTTATTGTTAAATGATGTAAGAGGGTCTAGCCCACTGTAGGTGGTAACATCCCTGGGCAGGTGGACCTGGGCTATGTAGGAAAGGCAACTGAACATGAGCCTGAGAACAAGCCGATGAGGAGTGTTCCCCCAAGGTTTCTGCTTAAAGTGCCTTCTTTGAGTTTTGGCCTTGGCTTCCCTAGATGATGGACTGTAACCTATAAGATGAAGTAAACCCTTTTTTTCTAAGTTGCTTTTGGTCAGGGTATAGTATCACAGCAATAGTAAACCAAACTAGAACACTATAATAGAAGAAAGAACTTTCAAAGTAAATACCACCGAAATACAAGAAACAATAACAGAGATGCTGTTGGGAGACGATTGTAAAATTCTGTGGTGTCACTCTTCTATTCAGCCTGAAAATGAAGTCAAATGTATTGAAGACATCATAGAAGAAAAGGTTCACTTCTCTTTCCTGAGATTCTTTTTTATAACTTTAAAAAAAAAATTGAGAATTTCATACATGCGTATAATGTGTTTTGATCAAATCCACACCCACTCCCTCCCCTCCAACTCCTCCCATACTGCCCCATCACTTTTTTCTGACAACTTCGTGTACTCTTTCTTTTTTGGGGGGCAGGGGGCTTTTTGCTACTCTAACATTCCCCACTCTGAAGAGGTAACCCAAAAATCTTTTAGGGATTAGATAAGAGCTCCCAAATATTTTTGACATTTTTGGCCTTTGGAACAGATCATGTTGCTAAGAGACCCACCTTTCCTGAGATTCTTATCTCAGGTACTGAAAGAATGAATAGAAGATACAGGTACTAGTCATGTGCCAGAACTAGTCATGTGCCACATAGTGGCATTGTAATCTATAGGAGTCCCATTAATGGCTATACATTTCTTCTTTTTATTTTATGTGTATGAATATATTGCCTGCATGTATGTAAGTGCACCCATGTCATGCACTGCCTGTGGAGAACAGAAGAGGGAGTCAGATTACCTGGAACTGGAGTTATAGACGGTTATTAGTCAGCATGTGGGTTCTGGGATTCAAACGTGGGTCTTCTGCAAGAGCAGCCAGTGCTCTTAACCACTGAGCCATCTCTCTAGCTTTCCATTTCTTCTTTTAAATTTTATTTTATTTTTAATTATATGTATTTGTGTTGAGTCTGTGTGTATGTGTATGTACACACACAGGTGCAGGTGCCCTCAGAGGCCAGAAGAGAGAGAGTCAGATCCCCTGGAGCTGGAGTTACAGGCAGTTATGACCTATCCAACATGAGTGCTGGGAACCAAACTCTGTTCCTCTATGAGAGCAGCAAGCTCTGAACCAAACATTTCTGAAACCTTGTAGCACTGAAGCTGTTCTAATGTCTTCACAGAACACATGACCCACACACTAATGATACTGCTGGTGTAGGCAAATGAACTTCACTTTCAGTTGAAGAAAATCATGACATGTGCAATTATGTATAGTGCCCATTGTCAGTAATGCTAATAAACAACTGTCTTATCGGTTTACATATTATTGAGCCATATTATTTATCATTATTTGAGAGCATACTTCTCCATTATATAGAGTTTATTATAAACAATATGCTATTTTGCACAGACAGCAGCTTCATACAGCTCAAGTTTACTGTGTCTCTTAATCACATTAAGAAGCCATATTGGATGACTGAGCTACACCACTTAGGTTTGTATAAGTAAACTCTGAGTTTGGCAAGATTCATAGCACATTTCCCAGAATGCATCCCCATCATTAAGCAGTGCATAGCTATGTGTAATTTCAACTTTTACCCTGATTTACAGTCCCATCTTAAAGGAGAAAGAATCTAACAGCGTTCCTTATAAATATACTATCTTTCAAGGAACGATACAAAGCAAACAAAGCAATTCAACACCTGATTTGTTCATCAGGTCCACATCAAAATGCTAATTTAAACTACATCAGTCATGAAAGACAGTGCACGTTGTTAATATTTAAAACACAGGCACACTATCCACAGCTGACATTGGTAACATCTTATATAATTTTATGTCTAAATTCATCACTTTTCTGTGACGAAATAGCACTGTGGTTTTTCACAACCAGACTCAAGTGAAGCTTTCCATAAAGGCTAATGCTATGCTGGGAATATTGATAAAGTAGGAATTCTCTACTCAGTCCCCCCAAGAAACAAAACAACCAGGAAATACAAAGAACATTTTTCAACCAGATCACACACTAGTGGCCCCCTAAACACTCTGACAGAAAGCTAGTCATTCAGAAAGCCAAATGGCTAGTCCAAAGCTTCTCATATGGAACCTACAGACACACACCATGGTAATGTTTTCAGACATAACAGAGAAAGTTATAAGCCATTATGATGACAACACAGTCAGTTCTGCAATGAGAACAAAAGATCTCCAGGACCAACTTCATAAGCAACTTATTAAACAAGTTGGGCCAAAAGGCAAGCAAATGAAAAGTCATATAAAAATGCTATCCATTTCATTTTCCACAGGCTGCCATTACCACAGTGACTCGGTAGTCTCCCTCTAAGACACCATAGAAACCCTGTAGACAACATTATTGTAGCAGAACTAATGGAGACAGAAAATCACATTATCAAAATAGAAGCTAGAAAGAAGGGAGACCTTCAGGTCACAACACCATGAAGAAATGGTCTGCAATCACTGTTCTCCATCTTTTCAGTATTATCCCTGAAAAGGCTGCTTAAGAAAAATGTCTGTAAAATGTGAACATTTCAATCTATGTCCTGCAACGTTCTACAAATCAGATTCTTTAAACATTAGCTGCAGCTCTTTAAGAATGAAGCCAACTTTATCCAAACCCAAGGTAAATAAAGTTGCCACTGATGTACATAAACTTTGGTGTCTCCACGCCCAAGTTGCAAATGTGAACTGAGCTCTTTAGAGTACATGACTGCCTGACTGAAAGGATCTGTTCTTTGTCCCTTAGCCATGGCCACTCTGCTGCCAGCAGTCCCTGGTCCCACTCCATTTTGATCATGCTCACCTATGCCACACTCTAAATAATGCCAACACCCCTAACTATGTGTCCACATGACAAGTGCCTGTTCTTGTTTTTGGTATGTGCAATGACAACTCTCTCCATATTTCTGTTGCCCTTCCAGTCTCTGGGTCTTATTTTGTCATCCCTTACTCACTTTACTTCCTGTCCTAGACCATGGTCCTCTGCCAGTTACTTTCAGAGTCCTCACCAACTCCTTGAAAACCTTTTATGCAGCCTAGAAATCCAAAGCCTTGAATCAGTTCTACAACCTATCTTCACTGATCCTATGTCAAAGGAGGCCCCCTCATTACCCAATCCAAAAGTTAACTCAACACTCTTATGCCTGACCCCAGCCTGCCTGGTTTTTAATCATATTGTACTCATTCTGTGGTACCCACCATGCCTATGACTCAACCAGTGGCATTCTCACACATACTAAGTATGTATGTGCATGCTCCCTGATAACCTGCAAGCTCTTCAAAGACAGATACCATGTCTTACTTATTATCTGTGTACTTACCATGGAAACCCACTAGAAATGTGATAGATGTTGACTAACAGTAGACCATGAAGTATCTTCAAAGCAAATATTTCTCATGAACTACTTCTGCCACTTTTTAATTTAAAAAAATATTTTCAGGTAGATTATAACTTTCAACAACTTTTCAGTAATTCAAGGTGTTTTTTTCAACTACTAGCTATATCTCTCTGTCCCCCTGATTGAAAACTAAGAAACAGAGAATGACTGTACAATGAGCATCTTTAATTAATGCATGAACATTTTTAAGCCTCTGTTACTTAAAGATCCTATTAAGCAATCACAGCAGAGCTCAGGCAGACTACACGTACCTTCCACACAGCGACAGCCCTCTTGTAGCACCCGTGCATACATATCCACTTTGGACTGAGAAAGGAGCTGGTCCCCAGTCAGGTATGTGTTGTGAGAAGACGCAATGTAGTAGTTGCAGAGGGGTTGATCCATGTCTTGGTATACTTCGTGGTGCAACGGGTTAAATATGTCACAAGCAGGACTACGCATAAAGTTGGTGAAGCCTTCAGAAGAAAGAGAGTAACATGCTGTAGTTTTCAAAGAATGGCTACTTCACTGATGGAAACAGAAACAAAGCAGGTCAGAGCGTATTCATAGAAATTACCAAAACAGTTTATGGTGACAACTGGGGCAAACAGAGATTTGCTTGATGTTAAATAGAGTATCAAAGGCTGAAATACGACTTTGGAGAGTGGCCATTTAAACATAACTTATAGAAAAAGAAGCTGACTTCTTAAGACTCTTGTGAGGGGACTGGAAGATGTATTGATTAACTACTAAACTCAACCTATATTTATGCAGCGTGACCTCAGGACCAACCAAGATTGCATTACAGTCATATTCATAACAAGTAGTAGCTTTATCGACCAGCAACGGATAGATTATTAAGATGACCTGAAAAAACAGTACATGTTAAAGTCAAAAGTTGAGCACTGCCTAAATTCATGGTATGATTTTGAAACTATGAGATTGGTTGGGGAGAATGCTAACAGTTATCACATAAATAACTTTCAAATAGTGCTTAACAGTTCTTTAGAAAATACTGTCAGTTTTTCTATAAGCTTTCAAAACATAAAGCCTGAGTAGAAAGTACATTAATTTGCATGACTCACAAGTACTTGAGTAGGATCATTATCAGGATAAATTGTTTCAAGTGCTTGAGAGCCATTGATAAAATTAAATCTGTACATATCCCCTGGGTCTTCAGGATTTCTTCACAGCTGCCTTATGCATAACGAGAGAACATATTTCATTCCATCACTGGGGAAGCTACAAGAAAAATACTCATTTCCTAGTACAGAAAAGGCCCAAGTTAGTTTTTCCTCTCTATTTAAACTGATCTTAATGATATAAAATTTTAAAATTATTCCTCTTCAATTTAATTTTCCTTGCCAGGAAATAAAAACATGATACTGAAGATCCCTTATCAAGCCAGGCTTGGTAAGATGAGTCTGATTGCTTGAATCTAGTAGTTCAGGCCCAATTCGGGCAACATAGTGAAGACCAGTCTTCCTAAAATTAAAAATACACAGATACGAAAACATTAAAACCTCACCCACAGTGATACTGGGAGCCTGGGAATCTGGAGACCGACAACTGAGAGTGA